CCTCTTTCCCTCCAAGGACAAAGTTCTTTGTCTCCACAGACTCCTAAGTGCACCGCTCACCCTTTTCCCCTCATCAATTCTATGATTCACCTCATCTTTCATAGACCCATCCGCTGACTGGTCCACTCCCAAATATCTGAATACAGTCACCTCCTCAATACTCTCTCCCTCCAATCTGATATCCAATCTTTCATCATCTAATCTTTTTGTTATCCTCATTACCTTACTCTTTCCTGTATTCACTTTTAATTTTCTTTTGCACACCCTACCAAATTCATCCACCAATCTCTGCAGCTTCTCTTCAGAATCTCCCAAGAGCACAGTGTCATCAGCAAAGAGCAACTGTGACAACTCCCACTTTATGTGTGATTCTTTATCTTTTAACTCCATGCCTCTTGCCAAGACCCTCGCATTTACTTCTCTTACAACCCCATCTATAAATATATTAAACAACCACGGTGACATCACACATCCTTGTCTAAGGCCTACTTTTACTGGGAAATAATTTCCCTCTTTCCTACATACTCTAACTTGAGCCTCACTATCCTCGTAAAAACTCTTCACTGCTTTCAGTAACCTACCTCCTACACCATACACCTGCAACATCTGCCACATTGCCCCCCTATCCACCCTGTCATACGCCTTTTCCAAATCCATAAATGCCACAAAGACCTCTTTAGCCTTATATAAATACTGTTCACTTGTATGTTTCACTGTAAACATATAATACACATAGATGTATGTGTATTAAATTGAAAAAGCCTGTTACACAAGCATGATGACTCTTCAATAAAGATATCTATGTGTTACAGTATACCTTATTAGTCAATATTGTATACCATTAGTATAATGATTGGGAAATTTGCAGACTTACTGAAAAGAACCTTGACACATCTAGAAGCATTGCTCTGGAACAAGTGATGAAGCCTTTTCATCTGTGTAATGTGCTGCTGAGTAAAACACACCACAGATGTATTACAGATGACTTGAGCAATCCAGTGCAACCATCAACTGACAACTGTACATCTGCATCAACACAAACCACAGCCTTCCACCTTGGTCCAGCGGGCCATATTAATTTTCTCTACAGACTTTCATATCAAGAGGCACCGACAACAGCCAGAATTTAAAGTAAGATAAGGTGTTTATTTTGACTTCTGTAAGCTATTTTCAAAAAAATTGTCTGGCCTTTTTCAAGGTTTCAGCAATATAACCTGATTTTCCCATGTGTTCTTCATATTAGAATAGGATGAAATCAGAACTTACCACAGTAAAGAACTGTTTCCAGGAAAGAATATTTACTGCATTTATCTTTCTTATGATGGTTCTCTTCAAATCCCTTGTTCTCTCTAGGCTGGAATATTGCTGTACACTAATGGCCCCTTTCAAGGCAGGCAAAACTGCAGACCTGGAGAATGTACTGAGAACTTTCACAGCACACACAAAATCGATAAAAAACTTAAATTACTGGGAACGATTGAAGTCCCTTGATTTGTATTCCCTGAAATGTAGGCGAGAAAGATACGTAATATACACTTGGAATCCTAGAGGAACTAGTCAAAAATTTGTATGTGAAATCACTCCCTATGAAAGCAAAAGTCTTGGCAGGAGATGCAACATCCCCCTAATGAAAAAAAGAAACACGAAGAGTATGCTAAGAGACAACACAATAAGTGTCAGGGGCCCAAGACTGTTCAAACGCCTCCCTTGGCTGTCTTCAAGAAGGCGCTGGGCAGACACCTAAAGTCAGTACCTGATCAGCCAGGCTGTGGTTTGTACATCGGTTTGTGCGAGGCCAACAGTAACAGCCTAGTTGATCAGGCTCTGATCCACCACGAGTCCTGGTCAGACTAGGCTGCAGTGGCTTTGATCCCTGAAACCCTCTCCAGGTATTCTTGTTCTCATACCAACATAGATGAAGACAAATCATAGCAATGTATCCTTTGGAGGTGATACTAAAATCTGTATGAGTGGCATCCATTGAAGACACTTCAAGTCTCCAGAGTGATGTAAAATAAAGTTTTCCAGTGAGCTAATGATGATAATACATAATGTTCAGTGAGGACAAATTTCACTTACTCTGCCATTCAAAAATTTGGGAAATAAACACTGGAGCCGAGTATACAATAAACGTGAATTGCTTAATAAAGCAAAAGTTTAATATGAGAGACCATGATTGATAATGTTGAAAGCTCTTACATTCAATGATCACAAGGTTATCACACCTACAAGAAAAATAATAAGCTGGATAACAAGAATTTTGAAAGCAATAGATGCCAAGCCATTACCTGGAGTTTACCTGGAGAGAGCTCCAGGGGTCAACGCCCCTGCGGCCTGGTCTGTGACCAGGCCTTATGGTGGATCAGAGCCTGATCAACCAGGCTGTTACTGCTGGCTGCATGCAATCCAGTGTACGAGCCACAGCCTGGCTGATCAGGTACTGACTTTAGGTGCTTGTCCAGTGCCTGCTTGAAGACAGCCAGAGGTCTATTGGTAATCCCCCTTATGTATGCTGGGAGGCAGTTGAACAGTCTCAGGCCCCTGACACTTACTGTATTGTCTCTTAACGTCTAGTGACACCCCTGCTTTTCATTTGGGGGATGTTGCATCATCTGCCGAGTCTTTTGCTGTGATGATACTCTTCAAATCATTTATTCTCTCTAGGCTGTAATTTTACCATACAGGTACTAGAAGCCCCTTTAAAGGCAGAAAAAATTGCAGAACTGGAAAATGTACAGAGAACCTTCAAAACTCAGTGAAGCCCCTAAATTACTAGGAATGCCTGAATTCCCTCAAATTGTACTTTCTAGAATGCACCTGGAAAATTCTGGAGGATTGGTCTTAAATCTGCACATCAAAATCACTCCCTGCAAATGTAAGAAGCTTGATGGTGCAAAATTCCATGCTGTTGCTGCTAGTGTGTCACTAGCACCAACAGCCTGGTTGATCAGGCCAGCAACAAATAGGTGTGGCCTGGGACTAGGCTGTGGGGGTGATGACCCCTGAAGTAAGCTGCAGGTAATCTTTGCTCCAGTTATGTTGTTTTAATTAAAGAACCAATTTTCAGGAATATAAACTATGTCACTTGAGAGTCAGCTGTGTGTGTGTTTTTCATTTGTTTAATGTGTGTGTGTGTGTGTGTGTATGTACATATTTTTATGCAGAATTCATAGTTTGGAAATTAGGAAGAGGTGTATTACCTAGAGGGCTGAAGAGGGGTTGTTGAGGTGGTTTGATTATTTAGAAAGGGTGGGGCAAAATAGGATGACTTGGAAGATGTATAAATCTGTACTAGAGGGAAGATGGGGTAGGGGTCATCCTAGGAAAGGATGGAGGGAGGACATAAAAGAGGTTTTGTGTGCAAGGGGCTTGAACATACAGCAGGCATGTGCAAGTATGTTAAATAAGAGTAAGGAGAGAGACATTGCTTTTGGGACTTGTGCTGTTGGAGTGTGAGCAGGGTAATATTTTGTGAAGGGATTCAGGGAAACCAGGTGGGAGGCACAGTGCTACACTCTAAAGAAGGGGTTTGGGATATTTGCTATTTAGAGGGACATCTAAACTGGTGTACCTGTATGCCTCTGGCAAGACAGTGGTTCTGTGAATGATTTGGAAATTTTCTTTTTTGGGTCACTCTTCCTTGGTGAGAGACAGCCAGCATGTTAAAAATAAATAAATATACAGTAGGGACCGCTTTTTGGCATTTTATCTTACGGCATTCTGCTAATGTGGCGATCTCAAATTATGACCAAAACTTTCTATACGGCAAGCGGTCTTTCAAATACGGCATGTGCTACCCGGTTTGTTTACATTCTCCATGAGCACATCTCTATTATGCAATAATAATCACTCTTGGGCACATTAAATGTCTAATTTTATGTCAATATAGACAATTTCATTAATTCATCTATGATATTTTCTTTAAAATTATATAAGAAACACGTTACATAGCACATGAACATGCTGTTTATATGCTATGGAGGTGTTGTTGCCGGGTGGAGGGAAAACATTACATAATACTAATAATCACTTTTGGGCACATTAAATGTCTTATTTTATGTCAATATAGACATTTTCATTAATCCATCTATGATATTTTCTTCAAATTATATAAGAAACACGTTACATAGCACATAAACATTTTATGTTTATATGTCAGTATAGCTACTGAATTCACTTATAAGTATACTTGTGTAGTATATCATAGATTGTATCATCCATACATATATATTTAGGCTCCCTAGTCAGTAGGCTCAGTGACTAGCATGTGTAACGTCACGTGACGCGCATGTGTGCATGAGTACCTCTGTAACTCTCTCGGTTCCCGTTTAGACATATAAGCAGCAACAGGCAGGCTGGGCCTCCCTTACCACAGTCTGATAATATAGTGTTACCAACTGACCAGTGTGTTTAACTACAACCATCTATTCTCCAACGAACCCCGATGACAATTGGTGGCAACGGAGGGCCTGTAATTCTGACGATTACAGCGATTTCTGGAGATAAATTTCTACTGAGCTGGTCGCCATCTTGTGACGCTAGGCCTGCCGAGACGCACTCTACAATCCCAAGCCAGCTACCCCAAGCAAGCTTTCACCCGCCTATTGCTTCCCTTAATGGTCAGCCTCTGTGTATTAGCGTTTTATTTGCTTAATTGCATTACTTCCGAGGGGTTGACCCGGGTTTGCAAAGTAAGCCAAGCTATCAAGTCAGTCTGTGGGGGGGAGTAGAGTCCAGCCCAGCCCTACGCCATTCCAGCTTTGCCTGCTAAGCCAGCTTTCCACCCCTGCTGTGCTCATCGTTACAAGTTATCAAGTCAGTCTATGTGAAGGGTTAAGCCAAGCCAGCCAGCAACTAACCCAGTACTCAAGCAAGCCACATGGGTACAGTCTTCTTCATCGCTTTGTGCTTCCAGTTCTAGCTATTCTGAGTTTTATCATCCCTGTGGTGTTGTGGTATTTTGTGGGTTGTTTTTAAGCCAGCCCGGCTTAGAATATCTTCGTGCCTAGTGCGGGTGTCCCCAGAGTGGCTTACGCTGTTTATCCCATAGGCCCAGTCACCACGCGGTGTCTCACCGCGCTGCCTTAGGCACTCACCCACTACCGCTGTTGTTTTTGTACCCTTCTCACGGGTCCTAGCACCTTATTTTTACGGACCACATAGGGGGTCAAGAGCCAAGAGTGTTCCTTCGTCAGGTGCGCCATCGTAAAAGCCTCCTGTGTGAGTTCATCGATTTAAGCACAAATTCTTTGAGGCGTCAGGAACGCTGCTAGCCATGAGACTCCACCACCTACCCTTCATCACCATCAACCTACACCGTTGCTACAGTGTTAATGAATATATTTTTTTTTTATATCGAGACATTTGCGTGTGTTTAGTTTTTTCTTGACAGTGATTTCTTAGTGACATTCAGTGACTCTTGATTAGACTCAGTGTTCATTATATACTGTTTGCATTATTTTTTTTCTCTTCTTTCTTCAGTGTTAATTTTCGTGCTTTATTTTATGTCTGTTGTGTTGTGTTTCTTTTTTTTATATATACTTGAAATAAGTAGTTTAATGTTTTTCCTTGTTGTGTGCAATATATAAGCAGTATAACCTTGTGTTTACACTTCACAATTATCTTGTGTTCACAGTATTGTGTTCCTTGCCTAGTAATTTATACAGTGAAGTAGTTCAGTAACTTGTTCCCTTATATTCTGCATCACAACTCAGTGTTGCCTCAGTTATTTTTTTTTCTCCCAGCATTTGTGTATTCTTGCTAATTTTTTTTATTCATTCATTTGCCATTTTTTTTCTGTGTGTGTTGAACATTCTTGAGTTAATTCTTTTCATTTAGCCAGTGTCTAATTTGTCTTATCTCCACAGACAATAGTGCCATTATTTTGTTTGAAGCAAGAGAATTATTTTCCAAATTTTTCATACCTCAAGCCTTATTACAAGAAAATTCTCATAGTATTGTGCATATATTGATGTGCTGTGTTCTGCATCACTGTAAGTGTTCAAACCTTTTCCTTGTTTTGTGTTTTTTTTTTTTTGCCTCTATTATTTTTTATATTTCATTGAACAAATTCACTCTTAGTGCAATTTTTTAACTTCTTTTAAAGTAAATCATTCTTTTGTTTGTTCAGTAAGTGTTTGCTTAAGCTGCAATTAAGAGTTAAAGTGTTCAATCAGTTCATTCCTTGATAATTTTTTTTTGTTGCTTTTGTAAACTGTATTTTCTTGTGTGTGTTATTTTTTATTATTGCAACATTAACTCATTTTACAATAATTCTTGTGTAAACATTGTGCTGCCATTAAATTTTTTTTTTCTTTCAGAAATTTTATGTAGTGTTGTGTTGTGCAGTACTTTTGATTAGAAATTGTTATTTGCAATATTGCTACAGTTTATTTCAGTGCAATATCCTGTGATTTCAGTTTCACATTTTCTGTGCATAATATTTTATTCTTTGTGTGTCATTTTATTTTCTTTTTAGTGAATTGCTTTCCCAGTTTGTTTTAATTTTGCACAAGATTTGTTGATCCCATTTTATAATTTTTTTTGTTGAATTTCTTTATTCAATTGAGAGTAAAGACAACTCACTGTGCCATTCATTCAATTTAAAGTAAATCTGAGTAAATTTGATTTGAGTAAAGTACAATTTCTCTTGATTTTCAGAGTGTTGCTTATCCAGTTGAGTAATTTTTTTTATTTTCTTTACTTATGCAGAATAGTTAAGCATTTTCTTCCCATTTAGGCAAAGTGTGTCATTCTCTCTATTTTTCTTGCCTTTATGTCCTTGAGTAAGTTCCCTGAGAAGATGTCCCAGTCACTTTTGTTTTGCTCACTTAGTGTATCATGCCAGTCAGAGTCAATATGAATCAGTCCACAGTACCAATATTCCCCTGCTGACTAAAAGACATTACCTAGCCCTTGAGCAATGTGCTTGTTCTCACAGCTTGTATCTGAGATTTGTTAAAGTGCTGCGGAATGCAAAGTTCAGATTAAGTTCCTATAGATCCGTGAATTCCTTATTAACATAGCCGAGTGGTCAGGCACTAGTAACTCTGTCACTCCCATCAGTGTTTCACCTACACCTTCAGACTTGCAGGATAGTGTTCCATTGCCTCAAGTGTCCGGGGACACTTGAGCGCACAGCCTATCCCTGCAATGTCTGCTAGTTCAAGAAGTAGTTTCTCCACAGGGGATGCCTTGTCAGAAAACGATTACTTGAAACTAGTAATGCCATCTCTTGTTGATGTCACATGCCGCCTGCAGAAAGACGTCTCTGTTGCGGCTAGTGCTCTTACTAGAGTGTCTGTTGTTGTCCCTAGTGTTCCAGATGGTGATAACGTCCTAGTTGACAGTGATTCCTGCAAGGTCAAGGGTTTATTTGTTGAACCTTCCTTACATGTTGTAAGAGACAGTAAGATCCATTTATTCCTTGCTAACACTTGGGTCACAGTGTTTGTCTCAGAGCAAATACCAATCTCGTTGACCTGGTTCACTATCCTTACCTTGTTCAAGTACAGGATGACTTGCCACCTGACCAGTGGGTCGGTGCTATTTCAACAGGGAAGACCTCATCCACTCCACTGGATGAATCCATTCCACCAGTTGAGGAGAAAGATTTAGCTCCCACTGACTTCCTAGATGAGGTCAAGCGTTTGTTGACTCTGTTGAACAAACGTCATAAAGCCATTGCCTTACCAGGTGAGAAGATGGGTATAACGAACTTATTGTCCCATCGTATTCCACTTGAACCTGGTACTAGACCTATCTATATACCTGCGTACAGAATGCCTCATTCCCAAGTTGCTGTCGCAGAAGAATTGATCAATCAGATGCTCGATGATGGAGTTATTGCACCTAGCAATTCACCCTGGAATGTGCCTTTGATCCTAGTGCCTAAGAAGGACGGTACTTGGCGCCCGGTGATTGACTTTAGGAAGTTAAATGTGAAAACTATTCCAGATTGCTTCCCATTTCCCGTAC